GAGAGAGAGAGAGAGAGAGAGAGAGAGAGAGAGAGATGGCAAACTGCTCGCGCACACAAACACTACACGCTCACACCTGTGCGGCTCCTCCCTCGGTGAGCGCGCGCCATCCAATGAGAGGCGACTTCCACTGCGCGTTGGCTTTTGCCGTCTCAAAACACGCATACACCGCCACGCGCGCGCACACCCCAGCCAGCCTGTCCTCCACACGCAGATACAGCACGAGCATCTCTGTGTGAAAAGCGAACCATGGCCGAGGGAGGAGAAGGCGAGGATGAAATCCAGTTCCTGCGAACTGTAAGTCGTTGTCATGTTGCTCCGCGGGGCCGAGAGCCGGCGCGGTGCTCGGTGTCACTGCGTCTTTCTGCTCAGTGTGTGTGTGGTTGGGGCAGGGAGTTTACCGCATTAAGGATGACAGCCTCCGCGAGGTATAGTCCTTGGTCAGTGAGTCCGCATCATGCTGACAGAGGACCTAGAGCAGTGGGAGTGGATGAAAACACAAAGACTGACAGTGAGAAAGACACCGGAGGACAAGCGAGATGGAGGAATAGGTGTTTTAGTCGCTGTCATTATTGTCTCAGAGAGAGAGAGGAGTTGAGCAGCGTGCGGGCTGCGTGTGTGTTGGGTGGAAGCGGGGCGCAGTGCGGTGCAGACTGGCAGCGTGAAGTCTGCTGCTGCTGCTGCATCTGCTTCACATCACTTCAATTAGCTTCTACGCTGAGGCAATGCCCCAGCACGCTGCGTGTGTGTGTGCGCGCGCGTGTGTGTGTGCGCATATGTAATGTTTCTCTAATGAAGTAAAAGCTTGTATTGGACATGGGAGGAACGTGTGTTCACTGCAGCTGAGTATTTATTTTGTCTTCCCCCCCCCCCCAAAAACATCTTAATATATATATGAATATGTATGTTCGGTAAGCTATCATTTAAAATGAAAGCCTGATAACTCTTTTCTCTGCCAGGGCTGACATGGTTGTTGCCATTGCAGTTTCCAACGTCAGTATCTTGACAAATAACTGATGGTTACTGCAATGCTAAGCTGCTCGATCCTACACAAAGTAATTCCACAGGAAGGACATGTTGGAATGAGAGGCGCCCCACGGATGCTTTGACACACCAGCAGACTGCATTTTAAAGCTGCACCATTATTTCTTTGTTCATAATGGGTCAAATAACTGTGTGTGATGTGAGAGGAGTCAGTTGGAGTGACAGACCCACAGACAGTTATCACCCACTCTGCAGTTCCTCTCCGCTCCACAGAGCTTGTTTAGTGTCTTTCAGCTCCTTGTTTTGGTTCAGTCTCACTCTCAATAAATAACCTGGTGTCTGGTGATGTCAGGCTGGTGTTTTTAGTGGAAAGGCTCCATTAAACCCACTGTATGATACCTGCAGTTACACGTAGTGCTGAACACAGTGGTCATTTGGCAGCTTAAGAGACACTCTCTTTTTAATACAAGAGAGTGAACATTGTACTTGCATTCATCAAGTGGACACAAGCACAACTCCTAATGAGTGATAATGTTGCTCCGTGTCTTTTGGATGTGTAAATATCTGCTAATGCTTATGAGGCAATATGTCAAATGTGTGCCAGTGCTTCGTGCCAGTATTAGCATTGGTGCATCTCTATATATTAATGCTCTGAATGTCTTTCTGTTATTACTCTCAGCTGGTTCCAGCCTCTCAAACATGTATATTTTCTGATCTTCTGGAATAGTAAACTGAATATGGTCCGACATCACTTTGGGTTATGAGAATTTGTGATGTGCATCTTTAACCATTTCCTAACATTCTACCAACAAACAACAAATCGATTAATCGAGAAAATAATCAACATATTCATCAATTATGGAAAAAAATGGTCTAAATAAAAGCGTTTTCTGATCCATCACTGACATTACAGGACAATTTTGAGCAAGCTTGGAACAGTTTTCAGGGTGTCTGTGCTCAGGCACTCAGGAGGAGCTATGAGTACAGCTCCGCCTGCTTTTTGCATTTGTAGATATAGTTTGATTTCATTAGAATTGCTCTGGGTATGTCTGACTGGGAGAGGTGTACCCAGGACGTACTGGAGGGTTTAAATATCGAGCCTCGGAGCTTCTTGGTTTATCCCCCGGTGAGTGTGGCCTTGGTGCAGGGTGTTTAGTCTGCTGCCTTCAGGACCCGGATATAAACAGAAGATATCCAGATTGTATCCATGCCTTTGAGGTGAGGACAGAACTACTGCAGTGGTGGTTTGTGGTTACCTGTCACCTGTCACTCAAGAGGCCACCTGTCACCTTTTCAGCATGTTGTAGTACACGTATAACATCAACTCTGGAGACTCTATTTAAATAAAGTGCATTAGATCTGTAGTGATGCAGTAGTCAGCCAGTGGATCAAACTAAATGCTGAATTGTCTGGGCTCCAACAGCACATTAACACCTATTTTCCTCAGAAGTTTTGGGGTCCCATTAAGAAAGCAACCATTAGACCCAGCAATGATTATGTGTTGTGGTCCCAAGCGGTAAAAGCATTCAATAGTGCATGAAATTGAGCTAAATAGAAATGCCTTCACAATCACTAACTCCAAATTGGGTGATATTGAAGTCCACCTCGTGCTGATAATTATTGACTAGTTTACAATGATCTGTTGAATCTGCAGCACACCTAATGAGCTGTGTATGTTTGAACCGTGTAGTCATGGTTGTAGCTGAAGAGAAATGAAAATGTATAATAAAGCATATTATTTTAATATCAAGCCACCTCTTAAATATCTTTTATTTGATATAGTTCAAGTTGTTGACAGTATTTTTTAGAGTTAGTTCATCTTCATTTCATGCTGCTGTAAAGTAATATAAGCAGAAGATAAAGGCGCTGCGGCCTCTAAAGGTGTCATCTAGTGGTGAGGATGCAGATTGCAACCAGCTGAACACCCCTCCGCTCACTCCTCCCTTTCCCAGTGTCTCGGAGAACTACGGTGGCCTTCAGGTGACATAAAACATGCACGTTTACACTTAATGGGTATTCTTGTGTTTATTGTTATATATCGTTATTGGTCTTTTGGAGTGCTAGACCTGAGAGTGGGGTGCTGATATGTCAGTTACATATTTAGTACCCCTAAAATGGCATCAGGCCCCAGCCTGGGTTCCCAAGAGATATAATAAATCAAGAGAGAATTAGTCATTTTCTCATAGACTTCTATACAAGCAGAGGAGTCGCCCCCTGGTGGTCAGGAGAGAGAATGCAGGTTTTCAGACACTTCTGCATCAACAGAACCTGAGGTTGTCACCTGATCCCAAAATAATGACTTCACTTTCTGTTGAGCTTTGAGTCTCCTGTAGCTTTAAGTTCCCCAGTAAAAGATTCAGAACCCAAAGCAGAACAAATGTTAGGATTTGATGCAGCGGGGATGGAGGGTTTCTCTCAGTCTGGGGTTCTTTGGTAGGAGTGGCAGTGATAGTAAGGTGCCGCTGAATGGGGTTGTGTGAGGGCCACTGGCCCAGTGCAGCCAGGGAAAGGCACCAGAGCACTCTGCTTCATTTAATACTTCATTAGGTGCAAGTGACTAACGTTTAGATGTCCACTGCCTCTCCATCAGAGGCAAATGGTATTGGTAGAGACGGAGCAACTCTCATTTAACAAGACGGCACAATACAGTGCGGCAGCACAGACAGGAGCACTATCATTAGGATTGTCCTCATCACTAAGGCAGAAAGAAAGCAAAGTCATTCATCAGTGTCATATGCTAATGACATGGAAGGTTACCAGGACCAACACTTTGAGAAGGTTCTTGTTTCAAGTGGTACGTCACTGTGTACTAATGTTCACTGGTTGTGTTATTGAGTTGTTTTGATGCCGGCTATGTCACCGGCTCTGCCATTGATCTATATACTGCAGCTGTACAACTTCCATGCTGTCCTCTCCATCTGCTTGGAAATGCCTCATGATAGGTCAACATCAGTCTGACTGCATGAACTCCTCTAAAGTCCCAATCTCTGCTGTTCTGGTACTCCAGTGGTGCATTGCTGCACTTGCTGTCGCTGTTGATCATTTCATACATGTCCACTCAAATGTTAATGCACTGCAGCTATACTGCAACATTGTACAGTATATATATATATATATAAATAAATATATTTGAATAAAGGACTGTAGAGATACTGTGCTAATGCTTCTTGATTATCAGTTGATGTGGTACATGAGAGACTAATGCAGCCCGTTATCTGAATCAGCCCAACTGTCTCCCTACATCTCCCCTCAGTCTGCAGCCGCTGCTCCTGCTGATAATGCTTCTGTGTCCCTTTTAGAGACAAACGTGTTTATATTCAAAACTGCTGAGTTTCTAATAGCAATTGTACGTTTACATCCAGGCTCTTCTTCCTCCCTCTCCTGCCTCCTCTCCTCCTGTTCCATCCCTACCTTTCCCCCCCCCCCCTCCCTCTAATCCTTCAGCACTCCCTGCTAAGTGCACTTTGAATGCAGATCAATACATGGTTACTGGTGCCTGCTGATGTCTCAGCACAAAGCAAACAGCATGGCCACAGCCGTGTGTTTGTGTTCATAATCTCTGTGACAGTCTGCAGACTGTAGAGATGGACCGAGCAGAGCATTCCACCAGGAGAGCCACTGCAGCTCAATGAAAGGGACACAAGCCCCTGAAGACCTTCAATACGAATGACTTAAAATAAACATTATCCGATTCATTCAACTTCATTTATTTGTATTTGTTGACATGATATCAATATTTACTTGTAACATCTGGCAGCAGGAATCACTTGAATGTCACTAAAAGCTTCTGGTTCACCCACATGATCAATGCAGTTATGTTCAATTTCAGTTGGATTTGAAATGAATTGCATGAAGCCAAAGTCATCCAAACTAAATAAGTCAATGATTGTGATCTGATGCCCCTCTCAGCAGGAGGACATCAGTGTTTAGTGCCCTGCAGAACTATTCAATACACCACTACAGAAAGCATTTGTTTGTGATCAGTCACCACCGGGGTCAAGGTTCAGACACAAACACTACCTCGTTAGGTAAGATGACTTCCTTAGGGAACAGTTGTGGTTAGCATTAGAAGACGAACTTGTGGTTGGTGGTAACCAGTAAGTAACTGCAGTCTCCCATGTTAAAGTCACATGTTTTGTCGAGCCATCCGTCCACCCTGACCTCCTCCCTACAAAGTTTTCAGGTGAGACACTGCTAGCAAAAACATCCCAAAGTATGTCTCCTAAATTCACCAAAAAGTTAGCATTAGACAGTGCCTCATTTGCATATTTAAACATTACATTTCAGAAAACTTGTAATACCGAAAATAATGT